CACTGGGTGGGAAATGGGACCCCCAGCAGTCCCTCTTGCATTTAAATGGGAGTAAACAGGGGTGGGGAGGCAGCTCAGCTCTCGTTAACCACCCTGGACTGCCAGATTTTTTCTGTTATCAGACTTCTCTCTATTGATGCCAAAGACAAAACTCTTGGTCAGAAGTTGCTCAATGCTAGCAAAAAAATGTCTGTAGACTCTCTGGTAGTGCCCAGACTCAACTGTTTGGCCCCGAGAGACCCCCAGGTTGGTCTGGCCGCATCCAAACCGGGTGGCCCAATCCAAACCTTCCCTGGGGATGTCCTCGCTACCCCCACCCCAGGGTTGGGGCAGGACTTGTTGGCCTGGGCACTGCTGTGCTGGGGACTGTGGTAATTTCACAGTGTGGATGGTAGCGGTTGGGGGCTGGAGATCTTCCCTGTCCTGGTTTCTTGACCAGTGTGAGCCTAGTGCAGGTCTCTCCATGTCCCTTCCAGTGTCCAGAGATGACCCTGAACATGTATCAGCCTTCAGGCAGTGCAGAGGTTTTGGCTTGAGCCCTGTGGATGGTCCCAGCAAGGTGGCAGGAGTGCACAAGCTGCATTCAAAACAGGAGGCCAGCGCTGGATTTTACTTACTGCAAAAAGATGGAGAAGATCCCTATTTGTCTCATTCCCTCCATACCCACTGCACAACCTCTCCCTCCTACCCAGCCAGCTGGGCACCGCTGGGCTGTCGGACCCAAATTTTCCACCATCCTCCCTCTTTCAACATCTCTGACTCCCTGGACGACAGAGGTGGGCAGGAGCTAACCCTGGACCTTCCGCCACGGAGGCTGCTGTGGGTGGCCTTAGCTCCTGCCTTGAACGGGCTCTTCTGAGCAAGTCCTTAGTGGGGGCTGGATCTCCTCCAGGTGGGCACCAGAGGTGATGTGCTGGATTTGGCCAAGTGGGCTGCTGCCAAGGTGACTCTGGATTGATGCTGAGCCTGAGCCCACAGGGTCGATCTTGCACTATCCAGCCCTGGGCTCGTCTCCCCAGCTCCCCCTGCCTTTGCCTTGGTACCCTCCCACCCCAGCCCCAGTGGGGAGGGAGAGACCCCAGCCTGCCCAGCCTACCCATAGCCCTCCTGCCCTGGGGCCAAACCCTTCTCCCCCATCACCCACCTCCATCCCCTCGCCCCTGTTTTCCTATTCCCAGCATTTACTCTCCCGCACGTAGCCCTGGGGGAGCCGGAGGATTGTACGCAGAGGGAGAAGTTATTTTTCCTTGACATAAACATCCAAGCCTTTCCTCAGCCCCTTCGCTTGAAACGTGGAGGCAGGACCTGGACTCATAACATCCGGCAGGAGGGGCTGGCCTTATCTGCCAGGAAACACTCAGCTCCGGATACATCCTCCCTTGCTCTCGGCACCCCAAGCAGCTCCCATTGGCAGTGCCGGGCAGGAAACCACTCAGCAGCTTGTCTCATTCCCTCCTCTGGAGAGACGGGAGGGAGGGCCTGATCCTGTCCTCCCCGTGTGGCTCCCCGCGGGGTGCGGCGATGTTTGGAGTCGGGGTGAGATGGGGGCAAAGAGAGATGGAGGGGGAAGGTGTTTACTTGTGAGCAGAAAGGGGTTGACGGGGGCAAAAAGGGGTTTTGGGGAGTTGGCGGTGTCGAGGGTCTCCCCTAGGCTCTGCCACTGATTTGCAGGGTGACCTCAGTCAAGTCTCCTCACCCCCTTCTCTGCCTCTACTTCCCTCCCCTGCCTTCTGCTTTGAGATCGACAGAGGGAAAATAATCATCTCCCAGCTAATTTCAGCATCCAGAGCCCTCGCATGGGGTAGAGACCCCTTGTGATAAGGGCAGCACAGGCACTTGGTCCCGTTCACAGTCTTGGTAAGATCACGTCCCAGTGCTGGACAGAAAAAGGATGGGAGGGAAGGAAATGGTATCTCTATTTTACAAACAGGGAAACTGAGGCACGGAGCAGCCATGTGGCTGCTTGTCATCAGGGTCTACCCCTGCCCGGTGGCAATGGGACAAGCAGACGTGGCTGGTGGAGCGAGGATGGAGAGGAGCCACCACCTGCTCAAGGGATGCAAGGGAAATCACCCGTCCTGGGAGGGCCAGGGCATGACACACACCGCAGCTCCCGGCCAGCCCGAATCCCAGCGCTATCCGGGAAGGTGACCTCATCCCTGCTCCCGACGCCCAGCACCGTGACCCACACAGCCACGGGGTCCAAGAGCTGGCTGGGGCCGCCGGACACCGGGGGCAGAGGACTCGCACTCTGGCCACCTCCTGGCAAGGAGAGACCCTTGCCCTGGCCCAACCTGACGCCTCTGAGCGGGAGCCCGAACGTAGCGTGAGGTCATTTTACCCCTTCCTGCAGCCCTGATTTGATCTTCCTGCTGGTTCCTAGCCCGTCCCAGCTTGGAAAAAGCAACCCACAAACCACAAGACTCCTCGGCGTGCACAGAGACAGCCTTGGGCTCACGGGTTTGGGATGGGGAGGGAGGAGAAACATGTCCAGGACTGATGCAGAACGAGTCCCGCTTGGGGTGGAGACCCCCCCAACATCCATAAACCACCATGGCCCTCAGTCCTCCGCGGGGATGTCCGCTTTCCAAGCAAAAAAGACTTCTTCCCACCATTGTCAGCCGCTTATTTTCTGGCTGGTCCCTGCAGCAATGCCCTGCATCCCAACAATGTGCTGCGGGGTGGGGGGCAACCCGTAACATTGCATTTTCCATCCCACCGGAGAAGGGGCGGATGGCTCCACTCCCGAATTTCATCTCAGCTGCCGGTGTCCTGGGAGGTGGAAGCTGACTGCTCCCGGCGTTGGGCGTGTGCCCAGATCCGTCCAACGAGGCCTGGCTCCCAGGGAGCCGCACCTCGCCTTGGCTGCGGCTCCCAACGCCCTCGGGGGGCCCCGGCTCCCGGTTGGGGCCTGTAGCTGTTCCTGACGTGCAGAGAGCACGGGGACACGCTCCCACCTCTCCTCACGTGGCTCCAGGTTGAGCAAGTGGGGACAGGCTTGGCTCGCGGGAGTCTCCGTGCATCCCAGCCCGGCAGGCTCCTCGGGGCTGGGATGCACGGAGAAACCCCTTTTCCCAGGGAAACCAGACTCCGGCCACCGCCGCACGCGCTGCCGGGAGCTCTTGGCATAGGCTTTGCCTCCGTCAACCCCGAATGTGACTCCGTCTGTGAGAAGGGAAGGGGGAGAAGAGGCTCACGGGGTGTTTCAGTCGATCCCGTCACTGCTCGGGGCATGGGAACAAGGAGCAGGACAGGCGGGAGCAGCCAATGGCCCAGAGGAAGGGTCCCATCGGGGGGATAAATGCAACAGCCCGAATCAGGCATGCCGGTGGCAGTAGCGGGAGCTGACCTTGTTGGGGGGCCGGGGGATGTGCTCTGTGCCTCCTCCCCAGGGCAGTTTAAAAACTCATTATAGAGTTCTCAGCTGCCCCTGCAGCAGACCTGGCAGAAAGGAACATTTGCAGAGTGCCCTGGGGTGGGTGCCCCTCTGATGCCCTGGGGTGGGTGCCCCTCTAACGCCCTGAGGTGGATGACCCTCTAACGAGCAGCCCCCTGGATTTGCTGGTTGAAAGGCAGATCCAGGTTTGGACGCAGGCACTTGGGCCACCCCTGCTATGAACAATTTTTAATGGGGGGCGGGGGGACGGCTGTGAGCATCCCTCGGCCCTGGGGCACCACAGGGATTGTGGGCAGAGCGGGAGGTGGGAGGAGCAGGACTTTCCAGCCCTGCTCCTGCTCCTGGCGTGGTCCCACGTGAGTCAACGCCACTGGGCAGAGAGACCAAACAGGCTCACGGCACCTCCCTCCCTCCAGCCCCGATGGGCTGATTCACAAATCCTCTTGGAAGGGCGACGCTGCCCCAGCCAGGCTGCTGCACCGGCCATCTCGGCACCGCACCAAGCGTCGCGCCCTTTGTGCTGTGCTGGTGCAAGAGCCCCCGCAGCCCATGGTGCCAGCAGGACACCCAAAGGCATCCACTTCATTCCCCCTAAAAGGGAAACCAGCCGCACGTGGCCAAGGGTGGGTTTGGATGCCTGAGCGATGGGCAAAGGAGGAAGGCGGCGTGTGTGATGGGAGGGCTCTCTCCAGAGGGGGCTACGAGTGGGGGACAAAGGACGACCGTAAGCACAGAACAGGGGCATGTCGGTGCCTCCCCAAATACTCATGCAGCCTCCCACCTTCTGGGACCATGGGCTCGCCGAGTCAGAGCTAAGTCATTTATGGGCGGCAAACCAGCCCAGTTGGGTTGAGTTGCCTTGGGTTGGGTTGAGTGACCTCTCGAGACCCCTTCCAGCCAACGCATATAAGCGGGTAGGAAACCTGCTCCTCTGCTTTTCGGTGCCAAGCAGGAGGACACAGCCTGGGAGGACGCTGCTTTGGCAGGTGTGCATGGCTCAACCTCAAGGACCGCAGGGACACAGCTTAATTTAATGTCTGGCAAGGGCAGGCTGTGATGCTGGTCCACAGACCGCAAGAAGGACTAAGCTTTTCTCTTCGCTAGCAACGCCCGAAGGCCGCCGCCCCACATCCACCTACAAGAGCGCCCTTCACGCAGCTCCCCAAATTTCACCCACACTCCATTTCTCAGGCCTCATTGCCTTGATCTGCATTTGCACCGAGGACCCTTTACGTGGCCCTCGCACGGTGGAGCATCTTAAACGGTGCATCAGCACGAACTGTGAAAGACAGCCTTAAATATGAATAAAAACCATGCTCCAGGCACTGGCTCTCGCTCCGTAAATAGGCAACGTCATTTGTGCTCACCAACACACCGAAGGCAAAGCTTTGCCTTCACTGTAATATCTACATAGGACCTGGCGTTCGAAGGTCGTATCCATGAGATGGCGAAAGCGGGATCAAGGCCATCAGAGTGACGTGCTGCCCCTGAGACACACCATGAAAAGTGAAGGTACGCACACATCATGCCTCGAGTCGGTTTGTTAGAAAGCAATCCACAATTTGTAAAGATAACCACGGATCTTTTTTTATTTAAAAAAATGGAAGTAGAAAAGTTTGGCTGAAAATACCAACCAAAAAAAAAATTAAAAAAATAGCACTCACACAGGAAATGTTTCTGTTTTGAAAAATTTGTCAATAGCTACAGCAATTTAAATCATAAAACAATCATCGTATAAAAACATATTTATTTAAATTAAATATTTTATGCAAACTCGTATCTACACTCATTCAAAATGCATAGAGTCACACAAAAAAGATGGAATGCATTAGCTTAAAAACCTGTGAAGTTGTGGGGTTTTTTAAGTATTATTTGCAATTATTATTAATACACATTTGGGACTGAAACCAGAAAATCATAGCCACGCTACTAACTAATCATTACCAAGTGCCATACAGTAAACACTAAGATTAATCATGTCATATAACTGATTTAAAATAAAGCTTCATCTTTATGAAAAGGAAGAGAACTCGAGCAATACAAAATCCGAGGGGAGGAATAATGGAAGGAATAAATCAATGTACAGCTTTATTACAAGCAATAATACGCCGGAGTTAGAAGAGGCATTGGGCACTGCGGCTCGAAATGTGAAGCATTCGCCTTCAAAGGATGTTTGATAAAAAACGTGTCTGCTACATCATCACCTCTTTGCCCAAGTGCTCATCCCGGGACACGTTCCCAGCCCGGCAGGGAGGGCAGCTCACGCCGCCCCCGCTTTGGGAGCGTTTTTGGTGGGAGACCAAGGGGAAGCCGTGGTGGGGGGGGGATGGATGCCGGCCGGATCCCGCCTTTCTAAGTCCCGATCTTACCCTCCTCCAGAACACACAGGCTGAGCGCCCTCGGGGCTGGCTGCCCCCCTGCAGCCCCCCGCGCATCCCCGGGGCCACCCCGGCAGCATCCCTGGTGTCCCGTCCCCTCTGGGGATGAAGCCCCCAACTCGTGGTCTGGGGGACGAGGCAGGTTTAACCCCTGCCAGTGCGGTGAGGCAGGTCAGGACGGCTGCAGCAATGCTGATACCAGGAGCCGAGAGCGGCTTGTAGACCGTGCACCCCTTTACCAAAATCTTCCCATTTCCCCCCATCCCTGCCCCTTCCAGGGGGTTTTGGCCCTGCCAGGACTTCAGACCTGCTGTTTGCAAGATGCTGCCGTCCTCCCGACTCCAAAGCAGAGCTGGGGGCACCCCGAAATGGAGGGCAGCCTTCCCGCGCTCCCAGGGGCATCTCTGCTTTGGAAGAGGGACTTGGCCAAAGGGCTTTGGCATTGGGAAATCCACCCCGGCCCCGTTTGGAGCAGGGCACCCGAGGCTTTGCACCGGTGGCGAGCCAACGACTGAAATCCTTTACCTACGCCACTGAGGAGACTCCACTACCCTCACGGTTCGGACTCGGTCACCCCGAGGGGAGGCGAGCGATGTCCCCGGGGAGCAATGCCTCGTAATACTGTGTCGGGTCTTTCCTCGGCTGGTCCAGGCGGCTCTGGCCGGAGGTCTAGGAGACGCTGTAGTTATTGTAGTAGGTGGCCGTGGCATCGGCAAGGACAGAGATGAGGCTGGTCTCGGAGGTGTGGGAGCCACCAGCCGCCGGGACATGTCCATTGACCAAGACCCCGCCGTGGTGGTCGCCGTGGCTGGGGTTGTTGAGATACTGGTCAAACTCATTGCGGTCCATCTCCCCCAGGAGCTCAGCTTGGCTCAGCTGGTCCAAGGTGTCAAAGCCATGGTGGTCAGGCGGCGGGGAGAGCTGGCCCAGGTGGGCATGGAGGCTGGGGGGGTGCAGGGAGGGGAAGGCAGGCGTGTAGTAGCTGGGAGGAGGAGGAGGAGGAAGGGGAGGGCAGCTGGAGGCTGGGGGGATCATGCAGGTGGTGGGCTGCGGCATGGGGCTGAGAGGGTGGTGGTTGCACGGAAGGGAGCTGCCCGCGTACTCCGGGGAGTAGGTGGCTCCAGCAAGGTGGGAACGGTGATGCTCGTCGGGGCAGGGTGAGGAGAAGAAGCTCTGCTCGCGGTCTATGGCGTCCAGCGGAGACATCTCCGGGGGGGTGGGCAGCCCGTAGGGGTAGGTGTCCACGCTGGTGCTGCTGCCGCTGCCCGGGGCCTCCCGGTATCCCCGGAC